GCCGCGGGCATGGCAGTCGGGGGGCGCGGGGTGCTACCTCAGCGGGGAGCCGGGAGCCGCGTGGGTCTTAGTGAGTGACCTACCCCTCGGCTTTCCCCTCTGTCTCCGCAGCTCAGCGTCATGAAGGGCGAGCTGGGGGAGGCCGAGCAGGTTCTGCACCAAGCCCTGCGGCTGTCGCACCAGTCGGATAACAGGAAAGCCATCGTCTACACCTACAGCATGGTAAGGCGCCGGGGGGCTGGCAGGGGCTGGGCTGGCCGCCCTCCTACGCGGGGCTGTCCCATCTCGTGTCTGGGCCGTGCTAGAAGTCCCCGTGGGGCTGGAGTTCCCTTCGGGGGGCTGTAGTGCTGTATGCTGCGGCTGCGGTGGAGCTGTAGGTAGAAGGAAAAGCAGTTGTGTTAAACCCAGATCCCCGCAGCCTTTGTGGAGCTTCAGCACTGTCTGTCTCTTCCAGATGGCAAACGTGGCCTTCATGCGGGGACAACTGGACAATGTGAGTAACTCTGTTGGTTTTTTTTTATTTTTCCCTCTGAATTTTAAGGGGCCATCATCTTGTGCGAGGTCTTGTCACGTCCGAGATCGTGAAGGTGTGGCATGCTGTGACAGGCTGCATACTAGGAGATGTGAGGCAGAGATCTTGCTGTCTAAAGCGGAATAATTTGCCTTGGGACTTCAGTCCTGTGGAGCACATGCTGCTAAGAAAGATGCTTTCACAGTTAAATTTTGAGCTCCAACGCTATGTGCAAGGGAAGGAATACTTCTTACTGTCAAATGCCACAGTCAGGCATCTAGATAGCTGTTCCAAGGAGAATCCGGGAAAGCCCTGAAGGTACACAAATGTGATAAACTCATGGCTGGTGCAGGAGTCCTAAAGTAGGAACTGACAGGACCCTACTGGCTGGCAGTACCATTGGGACCTGGTTAGCCTTTCATGTCTGACTGGTCTTGACATATAATGTAAACGCCACAAATTGAGAGACAGGCATCTCCCAGTAGTCTTGCCTCTGTAAATGGTAGAGATCTTTTGTTTTAACTGTCATCATTCCTCAGTATTCTCTTCAAAATTCTCATTTCAGGCAGAAAAGCTCTACAAAGCAAGTATGAGCTATTTGCTTGCAGGGGACACAAAGGAGGTATGTTCTTCTGATAAAGGCTTTCAGCTGGAATCTATTTCTTGTGCTGTAATACCTCCTACTGGAAATTTGCAATACTAGCTATGAGCTTGCTGGACTTCCTTTAAGGGAATTGCAGCTCTGGAGACAACAGAATGGGCATTTTCAAGGTCTAAACTTGTTCTCTGGCAAAGTAATGTTTCTACTGGGGAGATGGAAGAAGAAGTAACAGTTGTGTTGTGTGTTCTCCTGGCAGGATGACAATGCAATCCTTGAGATGTCCCTCAAGCTGGCCAGCATCTATGCTGCGCAGAAACAGTGAGTTCCCTGCTAAAGGCATCTTTTGTTTTCATCTTGGCTTCACATGGCAGTAGTGGCCAAACAGAGGCTCTTTAAGAATAGAGTGCCTGAGTGAGCTTTGATGTGACAAGGTACCATCAACATAAAGATTCCCACAGGCATGATATTGCCTACCTGCTGCCATGCAGCATGGTAATTGCTGTTATGACCTGCCCAGCTTAGGGTGTAAGCAGTCATAGAGGACGTTGCTCTTTAATCAGGACGTTGCTCTTTAATCTTAAATCCACACCTCACAGGAGAGAAAGCTTTTGAAGCAGTTGCTGGCTGGTAACTTGTAGCTTCATTTTTCAGTGGAGTGTTGGCATGGGTTACCTTAGCTGGCCTTGTTTGGCAGGAGGGTTCACCTCCATCTCTTGGATCCCTTTGCCCATCGGTCAAGAGAAGGATCTGGGCCGTGATCAAGAAGAGAGCACCAAGGGCAAGAAGGTTCTGGTGAAAGGGAAAAGCTGTCTTACAGGCCCTTTAGAATGAGGGATTGAAGGTGTTCACATCCATTCCTTCAGGGATGTAAGGAGCCTTGCTTTGCTGAGTACAACCTTTGCAGGCACAAATTAGCCCTGGCTGGCTACGAGTTCTGCATCCTGACCTTAGAGGAGAAGATTGCCAAGCAAAAGGACTTGCCTGAGGATGTCTTAACAGGTGGGACGGCCTTGTCTGCCAAAGGCTTCTCTTACTATCTTTTATCCATTTCCCTGTCCTTGATGTTGCTTTCCATATTGCCTAAGCACCATCTTAATGTAAATCCAATGTCTTCACGCTGCATGAGTTTCCTACTCTTGTAGGATGGAAACTCATGCTTGATTTTGTAGAAGTGATCACTTCCACTCCTCTCTATTTGCAGCTGAAGAAAAGGCCAACACCCGTCTCTTGCTTGGGATGAGCCTAGACTCCTATGCTCGCTATCTCCTAAACATTAACCAGCTCCCAGTGGCCCAAAAAATGTATGAGAAGGCTCTGGAGATATCAAATGATGTTCAGGGAGAGACTCATCCACAGGTGACGTGTACAATGGTAGCTGGACTACTAGGGACAGAAAAGCTAATCTAGGGAATGAGGCAGCCTTAAAAGCAGCTTTGCTGGCATCAGATGTACACAGCACCGAACTAGGTTCTGTTTTCCTGCCAGGAAGAATGAGCATGCTAATACATAAATATAAAATGTTTTCTTACTGAAAACTTCTCTGGGAAATACTACTTTTTACTAGTGTGACAGGGGTATGAATGTGGTGCTCCTGCTGCCTCAGACCTCAACACAGCTCTTGCTCTGAGGCTTCCTTTTCTGTCCTGGTACAGACTGTGGTTCTGATGAATGACTTAGCAACTGTACTGGATGCTCAGGGACACTACGACGAGGCATACTCCTATGTGAAGAAGGCAGCTGAGCTGGCAAAGGAGACCCAACACCCTGAGGAGCACATGGTGCTGAATAACCTGACAGCAATTCTGATGCACAAAGGTAAGTAAATAAATGTCCAGCCTATGTCACTGTGCTTTTGCTGACTGCAGATACCTGTATTGTAGGATTGAACTATAGCATTATTTTTGTGTTACTATTTTTAGTTTAAGCAGTAGGTCTGCTGACTTGGTGTAGGCAACTTGTATTGTGTTCAAATTGCATTCAGCTGCTGAAGGATCCTGTCCAAGATAAATGAATGCAGTACCCAAAAGGTTGCCAGGGAATTTGGTGTTGGGTTGATGATTGGACTTGATGATCTTAAAGGTCTTTTCCAACCTTAATGATTCTGTCATTCTGTGAATCTAGTTTCCTGTGTCCTGTATGTGTGGTAACTGGTTCCAAAAGGACCTAAAACTTGCTTGAGGCTTTTTTTCAATGAGACCTTAATGCTGAAGCAGCACCTTGTCCTGTCATCACTGCTGCTGTCTAAGCTCTTTTGGTTGGCACCTTATGCTGGATGTTTTCTGAACTTCCCTAGTTCTTGAAGTGTTCCAGGTAGTCTTTTGCATGTGCTCAGCTTCAGCAGAGGACTTGGAAAATGGGCAATGTAGCCATGCCACTTTTTCCTCTTGCTACAGAAGACTTTCTGCAAGCAAAACAAGTGTACAAAGAAGCTCTCAAGCAGGCACAACAGAAGGGAGACGATGCTTCTGTCCAGCATATCCAGGAGGAACTAGCTGAGCTGGCCAAGAGGAGAAAGGGCTCCAAATGAGTTTGGCCACAGAGTCCAACCTTGAGGTGGCTGACAGCAGCAAGGGTTGGTCAGTAAAAGCAGCCTGGGCCCAGTTTAGTGCAGTTCTCCAGGGGAACAGCACTGAGGAGTTTAAGGACTGCTTAACAAGAAGGGCTGCTACTGCCTAGCAACTTAGCCCAAAATAAAGTTGTGAAATCTTAACTATGTAAATTTGTGGTGTAGTCTATGGTTAAAGTGACCTACTGTGCTAGTGATTTAACTTTGTCTTGACGGCCAGCAAAGTGCAAGTCTAGCCTGGCATTAACGCTTGCAGTTAAGTCAAGGAGTAGTCTGCTACTCCTGACTGTTCACAGAAGTACTCAGTTTCAAAACATGGCTATACTAAAGCTAAGTCATGAAAAAGAGAACAGGCAGGAATTGTTTCACTCTCTCCATGCTGCCTAGCATAACAAGGTGTACTTTTGTCAGTGCTCCAGTTCAGTATGTATTAACTTCAATAGAGTATTTCCTAGACTATACCTGCACTATGACAGAGCTGTAGCTCCATGTCCTTTTCAGACAGGTTGCCTGAAGATTGTGTTTTTCTTCACAGCATTTAGCATCCAAAGATCAAACATGCTCTCTCAGAGGAGGGGTGAGAGAGACTATGTTACCAAAACAGAGCTGTTGTCAGAAATAAAACACTCAGCTACCTTACACAAGTCAAGGGCATACTAGGTGCCAAAGCTGTCCTCCTTTTTTGGATAGGTCAGTGCTAGAATGCTGAGGCTTCCTGTTGGAAGCAATGGTATGTACAAACTATCAGGCTTGTAAAGGACATGCCTTCATGTGAGTAGAGTATGAACAGCCTGCTTATACAACAGAATTTTTAAATTTTGCCCTGCAGAGGCAAAAGATGAAGGAGAATTAAATCAGAAGTTATCAAATCCATATTTAGCTAGGATAGCAGAACTAACTGTAATTCTGTCACTGACCAAGCATTATTTTAACCTTTTGTTTGCAAGAAGTTCAGTTGGCTGGTACAACCCTTAATGTTGATTGCATCATTATTAGTTTACTTACAGTAGCATTAGTGGCTTCAGCTCTGCTTAACTTTGAGCTAAGAAGAGGCGCACAGGTTTATCTAGATGTTCACTGAAGCTAGAAAACTCAAGTTGCATATACAGCTTTGTTCTCAGCAAGCTAGGAAGTAAAAATACAGCTGTTACAGGCACACTTGTACTAACAGAAAGGCTCTAACACATTAGAACCAGTTTTCTTCAATGTTCTGGTTTTTGTTTTTTAAGTAAGTGGCAGACCTTAGACACTCAATCAGTGTTAACTGGGAACCCTGCAGCACCCCCTAAGGGAAGTGTTTTGCCTGTTCTCATGAACATAGCTTGATGCTGCAAAACAAGAGGGAGACACAGGAAAAGCAAATGGAGAACTGATCCCCTTTATTGATTGGTCTGAATCCAGAAGTCACTGTCTATTGAAGACATTGTGTGGAAAAAAAAAAAGTTGAGCTTTATGATGCATGGGTTTTTCAAGTCTTAAATGATTTCATATCAGAATCACGAAACATACCAAGATGAAAGCATTGTGAAAGCGCTGATCAGAAATCAGTTAAAAATTTGTAGTAAACTACACTTTGTAAACATGATTTACAAACACCTTCCTGTTTGAAACAGGTCAGATGTAATTCCATACTTGAAGATTACTGGAATTGTGGTAAACCCTAACTTAGGCTCTGGAGAGGTTTTTTACACTGGAGAAGTTAGAACTCTGATAACAAACAAAAAAGCAGCAACATTTTATGTGCAAATGCCACTCAAGCTGTATCTTAGGAGAAAGTGACTATCCTACTTCGGTATGTTGCTGCTGCAGCAGCAATAATGTGAAGCTTTGCAATGAACATGCTATACTTACTGTACGGTTAAAGACATTTGTACATGCCTCTTTCATGTTGTATTTGTTACACTAGGAAAGTGAGAACAAGTGAGTTTTAGAATGGAACTTAACTCTCCCCTCCACATTTAAATCTACAAAAAGGACAGATCAACTTGGTTTCCAGTATATGCTACTGCAGGAACAGAAAAGTTAAAATAAGAGCACAGGTCTACAAACAGGATGAAAAATTCACTACTTTAAGCCAGAAGGGTAAAGAATAGGAAAAATCTTTCCTAGAGAAAGACTGCAAGGAGATTTAAGACTGCCAACTGCTCTACTCTGATGCAGTTTTTAAAAAAAGTAGCAAAATAATTCTGTATTTGCAACACAGTGTCAAGCTTCCAAATGAATTCCAAGTGGATTTTTTTTTTTTTCTTTCCCACACTTTGGGCAACAAGTACTCTTTTCTTACTTCCTTCAGTTCCTCTGAAGTACTCAAACTAAAATTGCTATTGATAAAATAGTTCTGTACTTCTTCCTGTTTGTAACTAACTAACTGGACCATCACAGTCCTTCCATAAGATGTAGAGCTTACATGGCTTAAGGTTACACAGATTAGATACATTATACCTTCCATACAATGTATTGCAAATACAGTGTTAAATTTAAAATATTTGACTGGAAAATAACCTCAAGGCAAAGACTCTGTTCATCAATGAGATTCAAAAGCCATTTGGAATCTGACAGACCATGCCACCCTCCAATTCAGTGCTATCTGTAAATCAGTCCTTCTACCCCAGAAGATTTAAATTCATTTCCTGAGGTCAGTGCAGCAAAAAATAAGATGATGGATGTCAGGACACCCTGTGATATCACTAACCGGATGTATGTATACATGAGCTACAAGCACATCATAGCAGGCACTGATAGATGAATGATTAAGGAGACTCTCCTAGTACCACGTACAATTAAAAAAAAAAAATTAAAAAAAATCACCCTAACACATATTGCACACTTCAGGAGTTGAGTTAAGCCAAGCATTTGTAAGGACTTCCACCAAAAGCTTGCTTATAGGGCTAGGGATTGGGATGAGGACACAGACTTTAAAATAATTATTACATAAAGATTTTAAAATCAGACTGGAGGAAGGTATAAATCACCGTACCTATTTCAAACTGGTTGTAACAGAAGCCAAGTAGTTGACTCGTGTGTTGCTCAATTATTCTATAAAAGCATTTTTTTTTTATTTAAACTTGGGATGTAGAGGTTTTTCTTCTTAAAGGATTTATCAACCCACCCAGAGCCTCTGTTCAGATAAGCCATTTGCTGTGGTTAAATATGACAGTAAAATTTAGTAGCCTGTTTTGACTGCATACAATGCAGAAACAGAAAACACTAAGATAGGCTTTTGGGGCACAGTTAAAATTCCCAGTGTGCATAACAGTGAGGTATGCCTCCAGAAGCTGTTCTTTTTGTTGGTTTTTTTTGTGTTTTGTTTTTTTTTTTTTATCCTTTTAAAAATGAACCATAACATACCCATGCAATAATATTTCTGCAGTGTTGCTAAATAAAACCAACTGCACCAAAAATTTACAATGTGGCAGAATTTAAAATTCAAAGAAATATATCATCTTATTCCAGCGAACTGGACTATGTTAATGTACAGAATTCATTAAGGGGTCAGTCTTAAAAATCAACATTTTCACAAGAGCTTGAACACCACTGAGAATGTGTGTCTAGGGAAAAAAAAATTATATAAAAGCACAATGCCTGCAAGAAGTGGCACGGCATTAAATGGGCAACGATGCTAGGCTGGTAGGGAGTCTAGGGTTATGGTTAGGCTAGGCTGGTAGGGAGGCTAGGGTTATGAAGAGTACTCTACACTGGAGAAAATGCTTAAAAAAAAAATTACAAAATGACCCCCAAAGTTTAGGCAATGATTTGAACATAAGTACACCAGATACTATAGCAAGGGAAAAAACACTGCAAAAAGTACTCTCTATTTACAGAAGAATGATTTAAAGACATTATGGTTTTCTTTACAAATAGATGTAGAACAGGAATAGTCCACATTTTTAAAAACTCTTTACATATTTATCTTTAGTAAGTCAACCTTCTTGATCACGATCCTCCAACACATGGCCTGTGCAGAAGGCATTTAACAGACTCTCCATCAATTCTTCATTGTGTGGCCCTTGCTCTCTTGGAAAGTCTCTATGGGCACAAGTCAAAAATAGATTTCTTTTTTTGACCCGCAAATTAAAAAAAAAATCTGCATAGTTCAGTCATCACTGTCAGACAGAGTCTCATATTGTGCTGAAAGCAGTGGTGCAGGCTCTCGCTCCCATATCCTGTTCTGTTGGTGAGTGGTTGCTTGGCTCATGGACGGCGGGGCACACGCAATGGATGTCGGCGGTGTACTGCTGAGCATCCTCATCGTCAGTGGGTTGTAAGGAAACTGTGTTGAACCTGAATCAAAGAGAGTTTCTCCAAGTCAAAAACATGAGCTGTTCTAAGAGATCTGTATCTGAAAGATGATCTGGTTTTGGTTGTGACAACTAGCAGAAAATCTGCTTTAGAAAATCCTTGTGTGCTGTAATCTTTTGACCAATATACCAGTGTTAGAGCATGTCTACATATGACCTTCCTATAAATATCACATCTAGTTTGTTAAATTTGAAAGAAACCCATTTCTCACCTGTTGATGAAGGCCTATCTTCCCAGGCCCACACTGGAGTCTGTCTATGGTAGTCCCCTTCTGAATGTACAGATGAGACAGAAGAAGGTCTTTCGGTTCCCAAATATCCCTGTCCAGGAATTGGAGACTTAGACTTCCTATTATTTGACTTGCCAATTAGCTTCTGCTTGCTGACTCCCCCTCCTGGAAACAGTAGGGACAGGTTTTACAAAAATGTTACACTGCATTTTAGCCTGTTTGTTTCTATAACTTATCACTTAGCAACAAACAGGAGTTTCACACTGGTGCCTTCTGGCTTGCTGATTTACTATAATTAGTGACCGTATTGGCTAGTCTTCTAACACTACTGCTAGAAAATCCCTATTCTTATCACAATGGAGTTATATTTCCATTTCCAGGAAGGGAGATGTTTTCAGCTCAAGCTAGTTCCCACTGTCATGTGTTCTTTACAGATGATGTACTACACTTGCGTTTTCATCAAACCACTGAGAAGCTTCAGGTACCTAATGCACCCTGTTATCTCTTCCCTGTTTCATCAGTGTTGTAATTGTCCAAGACCTGAAGTCACCAGCACCATTTTGAACGCCATGACCACTAGGGGGAATGGAAACACCATCTCTATGACTTGGAAGTC